TTATCAACTATCTGTCAAGTCCATATTCGTCTCGATAGAAAAAGGAGCTTAGTTTTTAAACTTTCTACATTAATAATGCAATCGGCTTATCAGTTATCAATTCTCATGTAATACAGATAACATATCAAGCATCTTAAACTAATCACGGATCAAAAGAAAAAATAAAGAAAAGAGAACAGAGATTGATAGGCGATAGACAGATAGATAGATATATATAGAGAGATTTATACTATAAACTTGTCTCAGACAAAATACAAATATTCTTTAAAATAACAGCCTACCCCAAAGAAAACAATAATAAATGAATAAGTACATGTTAATCAACGAATAAATAAACAAAGACATATACATGGCAAAAAGATAAATAAATAAATATATAACATTAAATGAAAGCAAATGAATATAAGAATTAAGCAGCGCGTACCTTCCACAGCTAATAAATTTCGCCGAATCGCCCATTCATGTCAAAATAGCCTTGAACTGATTAATTACAGAGAAAGGCAAATATCCTCTCGGTCGGAAATTCACTTAAGTTAAAGCATTTCTTAAACTAGAAAACCACTTGATGACCCACGCAATTAAAGATAAGTCTATACCAGTTTCAAACTTCTAAGAATATTATCCTTCCGCGAATTTCCAATTTCCCTTCAAAAAGTTAGCCTCTTACGAAAAAAAAAAAAAAAAAAAAAAAAAAAAAAAAAAAAAAAATGTTGAACTTTTATTAGTCCCGTAAATGTGAAGGTCTTTCATTAATTACAATCCTCTTTATTTAATATCATAAACTTTAGATAACATTTTCTTTTTAACATATATTGGATGAAGCTAATGCTAAAAAATTGTTACCTTGGAAATATATCATATAGACTGAAACACGACTAAATTTGAAACTATAGAGATAAATATTTAATTCCTTGCATTTGATTCTAGTGCCCTGTATATGTATAAAATATTTAATACTCAAAAGAATGCAATTCCAAGACGTCTAAAATAGTTTCTCTATTTTTCTCAGTATAGTCGAACAGTATTCTACCTTGTTAACATGATTTATGAAATTACTGAGATAAATTTAAATAATCAATCATTCCCAAGACATGTTATACGAAAAACATTTCGAAGAATAAAGTATAAGAGTTTATAAAGAATTTATAAAGAGCAAAAACGTTGACGCAGAATAGAATACCTTCCAAGAATCTTTTAGAATAATGTTCTAACGATGGGAGAGACTAGCGAAGTCTCTACAATATGTGCAGTCAGAAAAAATAAGTATCGTTACCCTTTGCACAAATAAAAATGAAAAATCGACGAAGTGGTGTGGAATAGCGAGGCAAAGTAGCTAGCACCGTAATCATGTGTTAGCAGAAAGAAGCGTTCAGTTCCTCATTGACCACAAAAAGGTGACGATAGTTGTTGTTTTTTTCAGACTGTACGCATTAGATATGTAAATACGGGAATCGATTCGAGTATCACTAACTAAAAAGCTTAAAAATACAACACGTACTTTAGAATTCTAAGAACAATCCCCCTCCCCATCACCCGAGGAACTTAATACCATGAGATGACACGACACATAACCAATTGCGTTCTAATTACCTCTTTAACATTAAGTTTATAAAGATGATGTTGATGATGTTTATTATGACAATGAAGATGGTGATGGTGATGATGATGATGATGATGATGAATAATGAATGATGAATGATGAATGATGAATAATGATAATGATAATGGTCATGATGATAACGATAGCGTTGATGACAGTGATAACGGCGATGATGATGCTACGGTAACGATCCTATCTAAAATAATAGTGATAATGATACTTACGATAATAATAATACTATTAATTTAACGGACACTAATCATTTGACCGAATTCGAATTCATTTACATATATATATTTCAGCTTAAAAAGGTTTTGAAAATGCCTCCTTGATGATAAAATATTTCGGATATTTCCCCGTTTTATTTCATTAAGGAAATTACAAGTATTCTGTGATCAATCTTTTAATCTCCTTGTGTTGATAAAACGGAGCTTTGTTGCAACGTAATATCTTTGCCAAGTATAATACCGAAGTCTTTATTTTTTTATTTTACCGAAAAATGAGACAGGTTTTAGCACCGCGTTCTGTGTATTTCTAAATAATTTAACTCTTTTTCTCGTCGAAGATTTAGCAGCACTGTTCTGAATGAAATCTGAGTTTCAGTGTTTAAAAAAAAGAGGTTTTATAGTCTAGTAACACGTTTCCTAAACCTCATTATGCAGCTTGCATTTGTCCTTGGTATTTTCTCTTTGTTCTCTGTTTTTGTGTGTTTGTCTGTCTGTTTGACTGTCTGTTTTTTTTTTCTCTTACTTTCTCTCTCTTTCTCTTTATGCTCTCTCTCTCTCTCTCTCTCTCTCTCTCTCTCTCTCTCTCTCTCTCTCTCTCTCTCTCTCTCTCTCTCTCTTTCAAGACTGGTAAGGAATTGAGTATAACAATAATTTATCATTTAAATACATCAGT